TGATGTTCTATATAAGTGTTCTATATAAGTGATGAATCACTAAATTCTATTCTTGAAACCATTATTTAAGTATATGTTAACTAACTTGGATTTAAATAATTAAGAATATGACAGAAATATACAAAGTCTCTGTCAGTGGAATATTAGCCACAAATAAAGGTCTGAATTAAAAAAAAAAAAAAAAAAGCAGTTGGGGGCTCCTGGGTCTGTTAAGTGGCCAACTTCAGCTCATGTCATGATCTTGTGCTTCGTGAGTTTGACCCGTGTGGGGCTCTGTGCTGACATCTCAGAGCCCCAGAGTCTGCTTCAGATTCTGTCTCTCCCTCTGTCTCTGTCCCTCCCCCACTTGCGTTCTTGTGTGTTCTCTCTCTCTCTCTCCCTCCCTCCCTCCCCCCTTCCCTCTATTTCTCTCTCTCAAAAATAAACATTAAAATTTTTTGAAAAGTTGAAGGATGCCTGGGTGGGTCAGTTGGTTAAGCGTCTGACTCTTGATTTCAACTCAGATCATGATCTCATGGTTCGTGGGATTGAGCCCCAAGCCCTGCATTGGGCTCCGCGCTGACAGTGCAGAGTCCGCTTGGGATCCTGTCTCTTTCTCTCTCTCTGTCCCTCCCCAGCTTGTGCTTTCTCTCTAAAAAGTAAATAAATAACCTCAAAAAATGTTTTCAAAAAAGTTGAATTTATATTTTTAAAAACATACATATATACACATACATAACATAAAACCAGGCATAGGTGGTTTTACATGCAAGCAAAGCCATACTTCCAAGGAGTAGATTATTCTAATCTGTAACACTTCTTTTTCCTAAGAACAAAATAACCAAGATCATTTCCCAATTCAGTCTGAGAAAAATACATCCTTGATACCAAAACACATAGGGACAACATAAGAAAGGTAGAAATTACACTGCTCACTAAAAACTACTCATTACTGGGGTGCCTGGGTGGCTCAGTCGATTAAGCGGCCGACTTCTGCTGAGGTCATGATCTCACAGTCCGTGAGTTTGAGCCCCGCGTCGGGCTCTGTGCTGACAGCTCAGAGCCTGGAGCCTGTTTCAGATTCTGTGTCTCCCTCTCTCTGATCCTCCCCTGTTCATGCTCTGTCTCAAAAATAAATAAAACGTTAAAAAAAATTAAAAAAATAAATAAAAACTACTCATTACTAAGTTACAAATGACTTATGAGCATAGATGCCAAAATTCTAAATAAAATATTGGGAGATTAAATCGGTGTATAAAATGACAATTACTCATAAACAAGTCTGTTAATCCTAAGAATATGAGTAGTTTAAGTATAAAATTAGCATCATAATTCAGCAAATTAATAGTTCTTTTGGGGGGAACAAATGAAGAAAAGGCATTAAACAATATTGATCTCCATTGATACTTAAAAAAAAAATTCTTAGAAACCTTTTCTAAGGTCTTTAACCTGATATCTATCCTGGTACACACCAAAAGCCTGTGATAAGTATCATTTGAGTAGTGAAAAATGAGAAAATATTTTCTTTAAAAACAGGAGCATGACAAGAAGGCTCACCATAAACTTCTAATCATCATTGCACTGGATATCCTACCCAGAGAAGAAAAGAAAAAAGAGAGATAGAGAGGGAGAGAAAGAGCGAGAGATGGAGAAGGAGAAGGATCAGACAATGAAGGAGGGGGAAGAGAGGGAAGGGAAGGAGAGAGAGAAAGAAGAACAGGGAGGGAGGAAGGAATTTAAAAAGAAGAAATAGACTCATATATACATATAATATATGTGCTACATACAATGTGCTTAGATGTGAATGGTAGTCTACATAGAAGTGTAGTAAGGCAATTAGGTATAAGATAAATATTCCAAAATCAATTGCATTTTTACAATGTGATAACAAAGTTATTTTAAATACTGATATTGTTTACAATAGCAAAAACATGTATATGCCATGTAGATATATCTTCTACATAACTTCTTTCTTAAGATATTAAGACCTTTGTGGAGAAACTATAAAACTGTATGGAAAGACATCAATGAAGGCCCTATAAAGGATGGTAATATACCACAATTAGGGCTAAGAAGACTTAATATCTTCAAGGTGACAATTTTTCCCAAAATTAATCTATACAATCAATGTAATTCCAAACAGAATTCTATCAGAGTTTTTTTCAAGAAGTTTAACAAGTAGGGATGCCTAGGTGGCTCAGTCAGTTAAGTGTCCAACTTCCGCACAGGTTATGATATCACGGTTTGTGGGTTCGAGCCCAGAATTGGGCTCCATGCTGACAGTGTGGAGCCAGCTTGGGATTCTGACTCTCTTCTCTCTGCCCCTTCCCCACAAGTGCTTGTGCTCTCTCTCAAAATAAATAAATAAACTTAAGAAAATAAGAAGTTTAACAAGGCTGATTCTAAAATTCATATGGAATAATCAAGGTCCAAAATAGGCAAGGTATTACTTGAGAGAATATTTTCTTACCATATATCATGTATCAATCAAGACTTAAAGTTCAAGTGATTCAGTAGAGCACTGGTACAGATAAGAAGGACAATGGCCTATAAAAGAGCTTCAACACAAACTTATTCAAAACACCTACTTGAGATAGGAGAAAAGTAGTTTTTATAGATGAGGGGGGAAGAGAGTCTATTCAATAAATGGTTCTGGGACAACTGTTTATTCATGTGGATAAAAACTATTATATCACTAACACTGAAATTGAGTTCCTGACTCAAAGTATATATAATTATCAATATCAAGTAGATTAGAGACTTAAATGTGCAGAGCAAAACCCCAAAATTTTTAGGAAAAAAATTGGAGAATATTTTCCTAACCTCAGGATAAAGAAAGATCACATGAGAATAAGAAAATAAATTATAGCCTATTTATGCAATAGAATATTCTACAGTAATAAAATTAACTACAGCTACATATAACATAGTAAATGGGTTATTCTTAAAAATGTCAAGTTAGTGTAAAATAGCAAGTAACAAAAGACTACTTAAGGATTGATACAATTTGTATAAAATCAAAATAAAGCAAGCAAAATTAAGCAATATATTATTTGCTGATACATACTTTGGAGATAATTTTTTTTAATTAATGGAATTTTAAAACACAAAACTCACATTAATGGTCACTTGCAGGCATAGGAACATCAGAGGGAATCAGAAGGAGCAACTAAGTAGATTCAGTGGCACTTGTCCCATTTCTTCAGGCCACACTGTTTTATAATTTTGCTTAATAATTTATATGTATTTTATTTATGTTCTGCAAGTTGTGAATATGACACAGTTTTAAAATAAAAATTTAAATTTTAAAAGGATTTGTGCTCATTTTACAAGGTCTAACTTCATTATAATTGGAGTTATAGAAGCCTAAGTGGAGATTTGTGAGGCAGGGATAGAGATGGGAGTTTCGACTGGTAATGAGTTTGCTTTTGCTTTTGTTTTTGTTTTTTGTGACTGGTGTTAGTCAAGCATAGGCAGGTAAATCCCTTTAAATTATTGAGAATACTTTATTTTTATTAAGTTTATTTGTTTATTTGGGGAGGGGGCAAAGAGAAAGGGAAATAATGAGAATCCCAGGCAGGCTCTGTGCAGAACCTGATGCAGGGCTTGAACCCACAAACTATGAGATCATGCCCTGAGCCAAAGTCAGAGGCTTAACCAACGGAGCCACCCAGGTGCCCCAATTATTGTGAATATTGTAGAAAAAACTTAAGCATTAGTTGGTTGACTGCATTAAATCCCCTCCATATCTGAAAGACTATTATTCTATAGATCAATTGTCAAGTCAAATAATTTAACTATTAATGTTAGCCAAACCTGTAACTACATAGAGTCCATATAAGTATCACCCTGATCTTCCAGTATTGAAATTAGAATGAATCAGTTGCTCCCCCAGGAAGCTAGGGAACAACTTCACCTTACAAGTCACTTGTTTCTGTTTTTCCTTTAATGACAATTTAATCCATTCATTGTAAGTCATTATTCCTCGGTGAGGGGGAGGAAGGAGAGAGATAAATATATACATGTTTAGCATTTTCAGCTAACTCAGTTTTATGCAACTAATTACTTAAAAATAGTGTTGAAACTAATTTTAGGAAGTAATAAATTTTAGGGAGAGTCCTGGAGAATATTCAGCCTTTTAATCTTCAAAGATTCTGGAGTTTGAAGTAGAAGGCCACTTTACTGAAAGTGTTACCAAACGTTTCCTGATTCCTGACCATCAAGCAGCCATTGAGAATGCCAATCAAAGTGCAAAGACTATCACCTACAGGGAGCACTTAGAATTAACTTACAAGCATAGATTAAATAAATTCATCTGTGCCAATGTCCCAAAGGCAAGGACAATCTTCCAAGCCTGAAAATAAGAGAAGCCAGAAGGATCCACAACAGAGAGTGGACTGCTGGTGTCCACTGAATCCACACTGAAAATACAGCCCATTCATCAGGTCACTCAGATTAATCACTTATATCTGTGAACAACCTTCTCATAAGTGCCTTCCCCCCAGGAACTTACTAACCCACCCATCTATCTTCTGAGCAACACCAGTTTTGGTTGTTAATTACACCAAGAAAGAGGGCTCATGACTAAGACCCACAAATTCAGGTTTTATACCCAGTAGGCTGGAGGAAGAGGTTGATGCCAAGACTAGAAACTGGTCCATGCCCCTCACTGAGTGACATTGTCATTGATGGTTCTCATTGTATGCTGTGTCTGTTTTTGGAGAAAGTCAATCATGTCACTCTCTTGAGAAGAGAATGGTGATCAGCAGGGACACTTCTACAGTTTAATAAATGTAAACTACTCCAGACATGCATCAAGGTTCTATTTACTCTCTTCCTTGCCTTAGGGTGGAAGAAATCCAATAGAGAAGAATAAGGGAGTAGCTTATCTTGCCCTGGAAATCACTACAGGCACACAGGAATTTTGCTATTTGTCTGAAAGTGACCAAAAAAAAAAAAAAAATCCTTTGGTCAGTCACGTGACGCTGGCAGATATCTTCTCATAAGAGCGCTGTGTGGAGCTTCTGAAATTTGTGGAGATTTTTCTCTGCAGATGCAGGAAGAAAGCAGGTGGATGGGTGAATAAGTATGACCTTCCTCCTGGTCTCCTTGCTGGCATTCCTGAGCTTAGGCTCAGGATGTCATCATCGGATCTGTCACTGCTGGCACAGGGTTTTCCTCTGCCAAGAGAGCAAGGTGACGGAGATTCCCTCCGACCTTCCCAGGAACGCAGTTGAACTGTGAGTATCAGAGGCAGCGGGAACAATGGTGGGGCTGGCATTTGCGTGTTGTGTGCTATTATTATTTTCACTTTAGGCTGATAACGGTTGGGCTGAACTATTTCTGCACTGACCAAAGGCTTGAATAAAACAAACTCCCCCATCCTAACAACTCTGCTCTCCCAGGATCTTAGTGAGAGCCTGTCTCAGCCAGACAAGGAAGGAAGTATGGAAAGCTCAATTCAAAGGCAGAAGGAAAATGTTTGAGTCTTTTCAACACATTTGCTCTTGGGTTCCAAACTATGTTTCGTAACCAGAAAAGTAAAACTAAGAAAAACTAGAAACTTTGAAGACCTGGAATTAGAGGCAGAAAGACAGTTTTGATTTAAGTGAAATACACAACATGTCTCCCTAAGGACACTGAATTCAAGAAGGCACAAGTCACTGTCACTTTGGAGCCACCAGCAAATAATTCCTCAACAGAGGTTCTGTTTCCTGGAGAAACAGGGAACTAGAGGAGAAGGGAAGGGGTGTGAAGAAAGGGAGAAAGAACAGGGGAGGCAGAGTGGGCATGAAAAATATAGCATCGTCTTTCAAACAGCTAGGAAAATGTGATTCCCAACTTGAGAATTTTAGTAAACTATTTAATAGGAAGTCAACAGACTCTCAGAGTTGGACAAGATCTTAGACCAGTTCACTTTATCTCTTCATTTTGCAAATGAGGAATCTGGGATCTGGAGAGACAAAAGATTCGTGCAATCTCTTACAAGGAGCCAAAGCATAGCCAATACTAGAAAACGGGCTTTTTGACTCATAGTCTACTCTTCTTTCCCCCAAACCTCATTCTGTCCAATTAATTACTACTTCCCCAAAGAACTGGGAAGTTACAGCTCAGAGAATATAGATACACTCAGTATTTTTATTCCATGTATTTTATTTTTAAAAAAAAATTTTTTTAATGTTTATTTATTTTTGAGAGAGAGAGGGAGAGAGTCAGAGTGCGAGCAAAGGAGGGACAGAGAGAGAGACACAGAATCTGAAGCAGGCTCCAGGCTCCGAGCTGTCAGCACAGAGCCCGATGCGGGGCTCGAACTCATGAATCATGAGATCATGACCTGAGCTGAAGTTGGACGCTCAACCAACTGAGCCACCCAGGCACCCCTTATTCCATGTATTTTAAATAGAAGCTGCTATTCTGGACGCCTCTTTCACTCTTGGTCCCATAAGGGTAAGGAAGACTCTTATTTTACTGCAGAGTATGGTCATCTTTTCAGTTCACAATTACCACAGCCACACTCAAACATGGTAGTGACTTTCACATTGTCACTCAGGAACAAGTGGTTAGTAGTACACTTGTTTGGTTCCACTTGCTACTTTTTCCCTGGACATCCTAAGTCCTCAGTTCCTATCCAGAGGCAGCTGCAGCAGCAGAGTAAATAACTCGTCAGCTCTGTGTTTTGGGTACACTGTCTCAGATGAGACAGTTATTCCTGATTATGGGGAAGAATGTGCCTAGGCACAGTCTAGTCATTATAAACACAGGAGAAGGCCAATGCACCTGAGCTCCTGAAAGAAGTCACTTTCCCCTAAGCAACTTTGAACAATTATTTAACCCATTCTGAACCTCAGATTCCTCACTTCTGAAGTGGTTTTACTACAACCAGTTTGGTTGGGTTGTTATTAAGACTAAAAGACATAGTTGCCTCACAAATATAGCCATTTCTGCCTCTCCACTTCTTCCAATGTTTCCCTGTGGGCCAAGCAGTGCCAACCAGTTACTAGAGCATACAACCCCTAACAAGGTTTCATTTTAGTAATAATCCTCCATATCAAACTCCCTTCTGCACTAGGCCATCTACTTCTTACATCTCTTTACCAGATTTTTTTTCCATTATGCATAGAAAACGAAGAAAGAAAATAAAGGAAGGAGGGAGGAAAGAAACAAAAATCCATTCCCAAACCCCAAACCTCAGGGAGTATGTGTATATAGTGTGGAAGGAGCAGACATATGATTTTTTAAATTAATTCATACTAAGATATAAATGACTAAAATTTGTCTGTCCAGGAGTACTTTGCAACTGAGAAAGAGACTGTAGGTAAGAGTGTTTGTGACTCTTGACAAAAGGTAGCCCTGGTCAACGCCTTCCTTAGGTGTATATACTAGAGGACAAAGTTGCATAAAACTAAGAAGGGGAATGCCCTTTATTGGCATTCCCCCCACCCCAGGAGTGAGTGTAGTTGCTTGAGAGTTTTGAAAGAGTTCTCCCAGATATCTAATCTTGAGAAGATTCTTTTCTCTGCACACTCATTAGTAGGGTATGAATTGGGCCATTTTAGAGTTTAGCTTTACAATCTTCCGGGCAAGGTATATACAGAAAAATAAGATACATGTTGCTTTGGTTGCTAGACATAAAAAAATTATTTGAGGATATTTTGGAGGTTAGTTTGTTCATCACAGAAGAGCAGATAAAATGCCACATGAACTACTCAGGTGCTGAGTTATAATGAAAGAACCATTATTTTTATTTATTTGTGCTTTTTAGGAGGATTGGATTGGGTTTATCTGGAACATTGGCAGAGGGAAAATGAAACAGCTTGTTCAACTAAGTATTTCTAGTTCACCTTGCAGTCTTCTGCATTTGGATATTGACTTTAATGATGGTCACATCAAGTGGAGATGGATGGAATAGCTGGGCTTCACTGAGTGCAACTGTTTAATCCATCAATACATCACAGCTTCATTGTCTGTAAAATTCACCCAGGGGAGAACAGGTGCTACATCTTAACCATGTACAGTTTATCCTAGCAATGCATCCACCTTGCAGCACTTTCATTCTATCTATCTGCCAGCTATCACCAGAGATTTCTAATTCCCAACCATCAGCACATGTCAATGTTAACACAAAAGGAATAGGAAAGCATCACCAACAGGCAGGTAGATTCCATTTACCAAAGGGCCCATACTATTTTCCTGAAGCTTTACACATAATACTTCATTAAAATTGCACAGAACTGCAAGTTTAGTATTATTGTTCCATTTTTCAGATGAAGCAAACTAAAGAGCTCTAGAGTCTGTAATTTCGACAGGCTCAGTCCTGCGGCTCTTGGATAGTAGAGCTGGGATCCAAACCTGAGCCCGTGCTCCCACAGCTTATCTCTGTTGTATAAAATAAAAGCCTCTATGGGGCGCCTGGGTGGCGCAGTTGGTTAAGCGACCGACTTCAGCCAGGTCATGATCTTGCGGTCCGTGAGTTCAAGCCCCACATCGGGCTCTGGGCTGATGGCTCAGAGCCTGGAGCCTGTTTCCGATTCTGTGTCTCCCTCTCTCTCTGCCCCTCGCCCGTTCATGCTCTGTCTCTCTCTGTCCCAAAAATAAATAAACGTTGAAAAAAAAATTAAAAAAAAAAAAGCCTCTGATTCATTTTGTTTGTTCCTCTTCAAACAAACAAAAGATGTCCTTTAGAATTTTGACTGGAGGTTAGCAGTTTTTCTGTTAAGAGTCAATAATAAATACTTTAGGCTGTATGGGCCATAATTCTCTACTCCAACTTCTCAACTCTGTCACAGTTGTGGGAAAGCTGACACAGACAAAATGTAAATGAATAAGCATGGCTGTGTTCCAACAAAGCTTTGTTTTTTGCCACTGAAATTTGAATTTCATATAATGGTCACATGTCACAAAGTATCATTCTTCTTTTGATTTTTTTTTATCATGTAAAGGATGAAAAATAGTCTTTGCTCATGAGCCACAGAAAAACAGGCCAAGTATGGTCCACAGGCTATAGATTGCCCACCTCTGATTTAAACTATAGCTGAAAGTGGCTAAATCTTACTGGCTTAAGTAGAGTTGAGGCAGTTTGAAACAACATGGTGCCATGAGGAAAGTACTAAACTAGGTAAGCTGGGTCAGGAATGGAGGGAATTCTAAGATAACATTCTTTTTTTTTTTAACATTTATTTTGAGAGAGAGAGAGAGTATGAGCCAGGGAGGGGCAGAGAGAAAGAGACAGAGAGAATCCCAAGCAGGCTCCATGCTACGAGCCCGACTCGGGGCTCAATCCCACAACCATGAGATTATGATGCTTAACCAATTGATCCAGACAGGCACCCCAAGTAATATTCATAGGAGGGTCTTTTGCTGTTTTGACAAGTCAGAGATGGTATAGTATAGCCTTTAGAATCCGAGAGACTGGAGTTCAAACACAGGCTGTGACACTGTTTTTTTGCTCAATCACATGGCCTCTTGGCCATGTCATGGAACCTGCAATGTGGGCCTTTTTCAAAGAGTTGCTGTGAGGACTATATGAGATAATGAATATAAAACACCTAGCGTAATGCCTCTCAGGTGGTGGTGGTGATGGCTGTTGCTGTTGTCGTCTGTAAAACACTAGGGAAAAAAAAAAAAAAAAACACCAGAGGGCATTCATGACGACCAAATTAATCCATAGGTATGAGAATGATTTTCACAATTGATAGAAAGATCTTTATAACTCTGTAAGACTCCTACTTACTTAAGAACAATCTGGGATGAACACTGGGTGTTGTATGGAAACCAATTTGACAATAAATTTCATATGAAAAAAAAAAAGAATAATCTCCTCCTCCTCCCAGTGGCTGAAGGACTTACTCTCTGTGCACTTATTTTCTAAGTAAGAAAATGTGTTCTTTTAGGCTTTCAATATTTGGCAAGAACTCAGGGAGGTTTCGTTCTGACCACAGTCAAAGGAATTTTGATTTCTGACTTACCCTAGAAACTCAGTTTCAGTTGGAGGCAGTCAATGAATATAGCAAGGACACTTTGATCTTGCTTTTTTCTTCCTGGAATTACAATTTCCAAGGAAAATGTGAACACCCATTCAAAATCTGAAATTTTGACTAAGTGACAGTGCAGATACAGCTATCTTTCTCTTCAGCAGGGTCAGATGACCACAATACTAAGAGGAGAAAAGGGCCCACTGGCGGTCACTGTCGACGTAGAGAGATCTGTATTGAGATTTTATTATAGGCTGCCTTTTTTGACC